AACGTTTCAGAGGTCATACTGCCTCCGTCGTCAGGGCGATGAGTATGAAGATTTCTGTCTTCTTGGTTGTTGCGCTGTGTAGTCTGGCCGATGTTTACCAACGTTTCTGAGGTCATACTGCCTCCGTCATCAGGGCGATGAGTATGAAGATTTCTGTCTTCTGGGTTGTTGCGCTGTGTAGTCTGGTCGATGTTTACCAACGTTTCAGAGGTCATACTGCCTCCGTCATCCGTGATGATGGAGGCAGTATGACCTCTGAAACGTTAGTAAACATCGACCAGACTACACAGCGCAACAAGCGAGAAGACAGAAATCTTCAACATTATAAAAGTCTAAACCGTGCAGAAATAATGAAATTCCTTGTGTACTGCGTCACAGAATCTTAATAAAGTATTTGTTAAACTTTTAAATACGTTCAGATTTATATTAATATTTTTAAATGCTAACATTAATACGCCACTTTTAACTGATACAAAAGTCTGTGTATTGTAAAAAAAGAAAACCCGAAAATGTAATTAAACTAGCAGATTTTCCGCGCTATTACTACAAGGAAATTTAGTCACTTCTTCCTCTATAAAGATCAGTATAATTTTTTTTAATTTTTGTGCGTCATTATTTATGTTTAAGACTGATTTATAGTAAAATGAAATATATATATAGGGAACTCACTCAAACATTTGGCCCTGTGGTACGGTTTTGATTAATGCAAGGAAAATACTGATAACCATTATAAGAATTGTACCACAACTGCGAGCATGGACCATGACGATTCGATAACATTTGAAATTCGAAACAACATAAAAATTTTCTCAAGATACGCTGTAATTTTAGCTTTCGAGTTACGGAAACCATCTTCAACGGAACACAAACCCAGATCACTTTTTAAAATTTTTACCTTTCCAAAATGTTTTTCTAGCATCCCAAATTTGTAGCAAACTGTTGGTTCCGTTTTCAACTAATACGCTCTTATTCACTAATTTATTCATACACACACAAACAAACATAACCAAAAATAATTTTTATTGTATACTCAAAATGAGGGCTTTGAGAAAATAAAGGATGTGACGTCACGCATCTTTTATATTATATTCCGTCGCGTAGTTATAAACTGGAAACTTATCCAGCGAACATATTTTATTATTCCAATAAAAGTTAAAGACTGATTTCATCAGCGATGACCAAATTATTTTAAGGAAACATAATTATTTACGTCTAACCCTCCACTGTGCATGACATTTCTTTAATTATGGTCTACTCAGCGACGATACAAGTATTTCTTTAGTGATAGGATGATTAATGAATAATGAATTGGTAGGGATATGGAAGGAAGCAATTGTTGCCTAATTTTTAGGTACTGTCGAAGACATATTTTTCCTAAGGCCTTGAGTAAAATCACGATTCTCAATCATGATAGCCGGTCTCCGAGCGAAGATTTGAAGACGAGTGTTTTCGAATAAGAGACAGATATCCTAACCTCAATGGACCTCGGCGTATAAGAAAGGGCACTTTATGTTCAAATGGATGCTGGTATGCGAATTGACTGAACGGTTGCAGAACGGATTCAGTAATGACCTCATACTGTAACGGCCACACAGTCTGGATTCCGTAACTCAGAAATTTTTGGAACAGTCGATACCTATCGATGACTCTGTTGAGTTATAGTGTGACATGTTTAGCACGTAAGCCTTTTGGCTGTCATAAGGCAAGGCTTTGCCGGATTTAGTACACAGAAATACGGCGGGCAATATATTACTGTAACTGAGCCATAACTCATCCGTGATTTGCTCCGAGTCCGATGTATCGATCGAGCATACAAATTTAATTTGACGTGACACCTCACTAAGATTCTGGCCAATGAACTTTCCTTGAGGCTAATTCTAACGACAGGGACTCGGCGCCAGGTCGCCGGGTGTACATATAGGAAGCCCCAAAAAGATGTATGCACACAAGGTTATTACGTATTATAATGTGTATACATTTTTGGGACCCTCTGTATAACAGGGCTAGCGACCGCTTTGTACAATGGTAAATGACAATGGTAAATGCAACTGTTATTTTAAGGCTCATATAAGGAAATTTTGTTTGTTGTGTCAGTGGGCTGATACTGAACTCGTATCGAGAAAGTCTTGTAGCGCTTACCAGTGAGTCATGCAAATGACAGTTGCGTTAAACTTTGTCACTGAACGCACAGATGTATCTGGTTTAAAGTTGAGGGTTACTTCACAGGAACACAACTAACGAACGGGTGAGGTTGAAAGCTGTCCACTGATGAAATAATTGACGATAATAAATATCCCTCATGCAATTTACGTCAATTTACACAAATTCTTTCAGTTCTAATATGGTTGTCTTCTGGAATATTTTGGCGTGAAGCATGGTAGAAATTGACCGACGTTTCTGAGGTGCTTACTACCACCAACATCAAGACTATGGAGGCAGTAGACACCTCTGAAACGTCGGCGAACTTCTATCAGACTAAACGGCGCTACAAACCCAGAAGATAGCCATCTTCGTAATCAACCCTGTGAGAACCTCAAATTTCACTTTTTAACTTCATTTCTCTTCTTACATTTTTATATAATATTTTATTCAAGAGCTTAATACTGGAGTTCTTATTTTAAATTGTATGTTTCGATTGAAATTTACTCATTTCATTGTACATACAATATTTTGTAGGGGGGGACACGTGTTTTTTTGAAA